AACAAGTCCTGATTCAAAATGCTAGGAAACTCATTTACAGATTAAAAAATGGCACACAAGCAGGCACGCTGACAAGCCGGAGCTGCTGCACAAGGGTGAACACACACACTCAGAGCTTTACTTAGAGGGCTGCTAAATGATTCCAAATAAGTGCAAAGCGAGCTCAGAAGAAAGTTGGCAGCTTTGGGTCACACTGCAAATACAAGAGTACAACAAAGCCGTGAATCTGAAGATCTCATTGTTCACCCTGAGAATAAAGCCTATGTTTTAATTACACTCAGTGCAAAACAGAAATTCAGTCTAACAGTGGCAAACCACCCTGATGCAACTTGAAGCCACTGGGTCAATTCTGTTGTATGTTACAACAATTGTAAAAGAGAAATTGAAACTGATGCATCTCTTACAACTGAACACATTCCCAACCCTACACCTTCTCACTTCTATACGCATCCCTGCCACAAACATTTTAGTGTCAAAGGAAGCCACAGGACAAGCCTGGCGAGCACCACCAGGTTGGGGTGTTACACATTCTTCAACAGTTTAAGTCTTTAAACGTCTCTCAGTTGCTTGTTTCAGTCTCCGTCTGTGCACCAACATCCAACAAGTGAGTCTCTAAGCTGTCATTCAAACAGGAGAAGCAACAGCTAAAAGTGATGCCACACCTGGCAGCACTCTGAGGAGCGAGATCGTCTCCCCTGAAAGCTGTTCAGAGGCAAACAAGACAGTTAGAAACAGCTGCAATCCCACAACTGTTTTTATTTCTAAGTGTGACCCTCGGCAGCCCTATTCTGGCCCTCTACAGGGACAGTGGAGGCAGTGGAAGGCTGGGAAATAAACTGCTAAATCTTATTATATTTTGCTGCTTAGTTTATCTGCTGTATCAGCTGCTGCAGCCCATGTTTGGAAAAGAGTGAGGCTTCCGGTCTTGCATTCTTGTCTCATCAGAGTATTTTAAACTATAAAAGCAATGATTGATCTGTAACAGCACTGTACTGAGTCTGCACCACTGATTTCTTTTCATTTTTACCACTTTTACACAAAGCATGTAGGATCCAGTACTTTTGGAGCTTGACCCAAACTAGAGACTAAAAGTCTGCATATTTCAGCCTCTGCTGCTTTGATTATTTTTAAATCTGTTTCTTGCAAGTCCCCGTTGAAAGTGCAATGCTAACATAGTGGAATACACCTTTAAAGCAGTTCTAAAACACGCAGACCACTAAATTTAATTGCACTAAAGTCCATCCATTCGCTGCCCTAATTTGAATGATTTTATAACTGTTTTAGGACCATTCTAACTTAATATTTTCCAAATATTCAAAGCCAATCAAATACGGCACTTAAAACAGATAAGTGAACATTAATTGAATATTTCATCATAGTTTACTCCAAGGTGATGACACCCAGCTCTGACCACTGAACACTTTACTTGTGTCAGCCCTGGCTGTGAACATGTGGACAGTCTGTCTAATGATAACCGTTGAGCTACACTAATCCCAGGTTCATCTAACAATATCATGGCCCTACTTGTGGACAAGCAAAGTGAGTGGACACCACGGCAAGTTGTCATCTCTGGATGGATGTATGAAGTCTAAACAGCATGTGCACCTGAGTCGTATATACTGTCTACAGTGTCTGGTGTGCTCAGATTAGCCAGGGACGGCGATGGTGGAGGGCCGAGAGCGCCGGCTGAGGCTGCAGCTTGTTCACATCCCTCGGGGCCAGTGGCTACCTCAGCTGTGGTATTTATAGTGCACACACTCCCAGGTGTACAAAGTAAACACGGCCGACACTGTCAGGTACCACAGCGACCAGAGCAGGAAGCTAACCTTTTCATCTGCCAGCTGCTTACAGAATTATTTATCAGCTCACTAGAACAGGAGCCAAAGCTTCGAAAGTGAGCTTGATTAGGTGTCAACGAGGAAAGTCTCTCTTAATGAGCCCGTGTTATGGACTTTTTCTCTCACACTCCAGAGCTCATTCATATTGAATTAAGCCAGTTAACAGTCATAAGACCAGATTAAAATGTTTTATTGCGTTTTAGTGAGCCGCGGTCTGTCTGTGCCCCTAATCAAAACGTTCACATATATCAATATGGCAGATGTAGCAGCAGAGGGCTTTCCCTTAATGTCATTACTCCACATGTGACAGTTACAAACTATGTTGAAGATTCACAGTCTGTTCCAGCAACAGTGATGGATCGGTGTTTTTCAGCAGAGATGCTGCAAAGACGCTACAAAATGTAATCTACATCTGCCTTTCTGTCACTTTTAGTCTTTAAAAGAAAGGTGTTTTTTTATTTAATCAGTATCCTGCACTGCTGTTTGGGTACTTACATCACAAATATACAAAGATGCAAAAAACTTTGACCGATAACACTGACTTACAGTAAGATGCATTAGCCGATTCTGAAATCAGGGTGACCGACTCCATCCATGGTATCCAGCTGACACAAATGCAGATTTTTTTTCGTATAAACACAAATGAACAACTACATAAGGGAAAAAATGACCCCAAATGGTCACATCAGATATGAGGAATTACCCCGACCCCAAGCTGTTTGCTCATATTTTGATATTGTCATATGTCATCAGCAAAAGAAAAGTGGGTAAAACTTACACCTTATACAAAGCAAACACATTCATGCTGACAGGTAATGACATAGCTCTTACCCTGGTGGCTGTGTGATGTCATGGCTGCCAGGCTGGGCAAGTGGGTGTCACGCAGTATGTCAGGCGAGCACCCGGCTCAGTGTGTGTTGTGCAGAATAGATGTGTGTGCTTGTGCAAGCGCAGATGTGATTTACAGGGTGGCAATCGAGAAGCCGGTATCCTGCCAAAACAGTGGAGTGTGTGTGTGCGTGGGTGTGTGTGTGTTCAGGCTGATCCAACACTCAGGACGGTCCCTCGAGAATCCCTCAAGACTGGAAACAGGAAGCAGACGTCCAGCAGCAGCAGCCAATCCCCATGAGGTTTGTGAGTTGGCTACTCCAATCAGAAGTCTAGCACTGGTACCAACCTAACAGAGAGGACAGAAAGGATGATGTCACTGCTTTCTGTTTAAAACAAGTATCTAATTGCTGATCTAGTACTCCCAGTTTGGACCAGATAAAAGGCAGCTTTTATTTACACTGGTTCAATGTCATGCAAAGAGGTACAGACATTTAAATTTAAAAGACAGCACAGGTGCTGGGAGGAAAAAAGTTGGGCGTCTCTCACACACAGGTTATTTTCAGTGATTTATAGTATTGATCATTCAGTAACACTGATTCAGAGATGACAGCTGTTAAATCAAGCCTTGGATTCCAGTTTAGAGCTGATGTGGCTTCATCTCCAGCCATTCAAAGACCTCTGCCTGTTTATGCTCAAAGCAAATACATCTGCATATTAAACAAACTTGGCCTAGATTGCTTTCTTGATTAATCACTTCATCTTTTGCCCTATAAATATGTCTTGTTTTATCAGATGACCTGTCCAAAATCCAAAGATATTTTGTTTACTATTCTCTAAAACACAGATGCCACAGAAGTGCCGGCATTTTAACTCAAAAATAAAGGTTTACCTGATTAATTTCTCATCATATTCCGAATTCATTTTCAGCCCATTAACTAATCAATTAATCAGCTAATAGTTTCAGCCCTATGACTGTCTTTTTTAAGAGCAAGCAGCCTTTATAATGTCAGGCAACCATTTAGCACCAGGTGTGACACAGAGCCCCAGAGAAACAGGTAAACTGGATGTCCCCCCCCCTTTGCCATCAATGTTAAGAAGCTGACTTCTTTTGCTTCTGAATGTCAGATGACTACACAAATATAATAAGTGTTTTAACTGCAAGACTCAAAATTCTAGTGCTGGAATGTTAGAAATGTCCTACCCATGGTTAAATCATTGTTCAGTACTTGCACTGTGGACTGACAACTGACACAGGAACAGACACTGCTTTGACAATGATTCACACCTGCACAAATAGAGTTTAGTGATCAAGGACATAAAAGAGACTGTTGTCAAAGCTAAATGTTGTCTCACTATGTTGTTGGCGCTTTTCACATTTACTAGTGATCAATCAAATGGACTTTCTGTGATCATGAACACAGCCGCTGAGGCTGAATTCTCTTTTCCTGGAGGAGGGTATCTCCGGTATCTGCCGGATACTGTTGAACAGAAGATTGGTGATCAATATTATTACTGCATTATTAGAATATGGAACACATTCTAACTATTAATGTGTTAGTCACTGTTATATTAATATTGAGCTATAATATTTTGACCATTTGTCTTCTCACCCTTTTTTAACCAAAACCTCTTTTCAACAAACCAAGAGGAGTTAACAAGACGATACTCCGCCCTGTTCCCGGCAGCTGGGGTGAGCCCCTGGGGTGGACAGCATGGGTCACTGTTTCACTCATCTCAACTGCTAACCCCCTAATAAACAGGCTCTCTCCCTCCTCAGGGTCTGGGAGCTGTTTAGGGAGGGATCACGCAGTGGGTTAGCTCTCTCCTTCACGGTCTGGGGGCAACTCAGAGCTGCACAATACCAGTAACAACTACTGCTCCCCTGGACCCATCCCTGCTGAGCCACCCTGGAGCTACCTGATGGTGACCGGCCTCATTCTTGCTCCAGTGCCAGGACACACTGCCAGTACTTTATTAGTTATTTATTTGTTTATACCCTCCTCTACCTTACAGTATATATTCAACAAACCCTCACATGACCTGTACATTCATTATATGCACTTCTGTTCCTTTGTAAATTTCCTGTAACCATTGTTTTGTTTTTCAAGTCCTGTACTGTTAGTCCTGTGTTTGGAGTTGTAATACAGTAGAGTATTTAAGTGGCAACACCTGTATTTTGTGTATTTAAAAGTTGTCTTCTTACATGGCAGTGAGATATGCATCAGCAGTGTTTGTAAAAAGGATCACTTAAAACAGAGCTTATTTTTATCAACAGCTTCAAGCTGTTTTTTCACATGTTCCCAGGGTTTTTGAAAGTCAAATACTGAAAACTCCATACGACCTCAAGTTCAACCTCAAGCTCGCACTGCTAGAATCTGTAAACCTATCGGGCAATAAGTGATGTGGATGTAGCTGTGCTCTGACTGGAACGCTCACAGATAAGAAAAAACATGGAAAAGTATCACGGCTTCCTTTAACAGAAAAGGGTGGAACAGCCCTTAGTTTCATGAACATGTGAAATATTTTCTTTGTTTTTGGAAGTAACTGACTGGTATATTTGATGGTGATGAAAAATAACTAGCTGTTCTTTCTTGTTTTTGGGGAGTAGCCTGATTTCTTCAAACATCGAGCAGGAGTGTCAAATATAATCACAGCTTGAGCCCAAGGCATCAAGTCAACCTTACCACCACAGACAGAGGAGGTAAAACTGGCTGAGGGTGAGGCAGGTGGGGAGTGGCGGTGGAGGCACGAGGGTGGTGTGGATGTGCACACCCCTGTGTGTGTGTTGGCAGAGGTCTCAGAGGTCCTCAAAAGCGGGATGGATGCGTGTCTGTGTGCGCGCGCGCATTTGGGGCATGGGTCTCAAGACAAGAGGGCCAGATAGTGCAGCCGCAGGACAAATTACCCCCCCAAAAAAGTCGGTCACTGCACAGCGCATGCACATTTGCGCTTTGTGATAGAAAAGAAAAGTAAGGGGGGGGGGAGCCACAGGGAATAGCTGACACTCCAGGGGGCCTCTGGCAACACACATTTCCCAGGGCAGCTCATCTGTCTTGGGAGGGGTATGTGTGTGTTTGTGTGTCCCAGGCCATTGTCCCTAAAAAGAGCTTGCTTGATGCAGGGTGACAGATCTGGGGAGACAAGCCCTGACATCCAAATAATAAAAACAGAGACCTGGAAATAGGTTAAAACCGAAGTTTTTGTGGAAAATTACACCAAAAAACAGCATCAATTAACATCCAACAAGCACATAAGATGCATTAATCATGACACTAGCTGCTATAGAAGCCTGTCACGATGTGGGTACACTTGTTTAGCCTGACCCAGCACTCCAGTCCAAACTCCCCAAGATATATTACGACAAAAATCTCCGCTCCTTACAAATATTACCTTTCACAAAGCGTTTCGTGCGCTTGGCGACACAGCCGTAAAACGATGCCTGGATGTTTTCTGAAGAGCTCCAACAACCCTTACGCCCCCATTCACAAAAAGATTGACGCATGCAGAGAATTACCACCGCCCATCCCGAACCATTCACACACTCAAACACACACTCCCGCAGGCCTGTGCTTTAATTTTACACGATTTTCTGGCCACTAACACGGGTATAAAGCAATAGAGGCGTGTTGGTACAGTGTATATTGCATTAAAGCCTACGGCTCGGCCGTGCGCTACAACTAGCTCAGCAACAATCGGCATAATAAACATCGCCTGTCCGTTCCCTCCGTGTTGCCTACACACTTCCCGCCCGCCACAGCCCAGTAAACCCTAGGATTTTTTATGTATGCTATTACGATGTGAAATAACTCCTACCAGATTTAGATACAACTCGGGCCAAAGAAGACGTTAAAAACAACCGGGAAGCGGAGCAGAGCGGAAACTTCAGCCGGACATTGTTTTGATAAATCCTGCCTGTGCATCGCATCCCTGAGCATCAAAGCGGCGGAGCTCGGCGACACATTCATCCCGACAGGACTCACCTACACGGGCCAGGAGGAGGCCAGTCGTCCCAACATGTGTCCCGCACGGCTCTCAGTCCTCTCCCATGTCAGACTCTGGGCTTTTTCTCAGTGCAGGAGGAGGGGGACGGAAAAAAATTCATCTGCTGACAGATTCCGCCATACTGGATTTTTGTTACAGCCCCAGCGTCACATGGAGCGCCCCAGCATTTACCAGAGGCGGGGTTAGCCTGGCGAAAGTGTGTCCACTGCCTGATACGTGTGTGTGTGCTGGGCTGGAGGAAGGTTGTGACGGTCATTGATGAGGAAAAAGTCTCTGGGCGTCCTATAATGTAAGAAATATCACTGCGATGTTCTAACATGCAGTTTCCTGGGTGTCATCACTTTGTTTTTAATCACTTAATGCTGCTTTATACCCCCTGTTACTGCTTTATATTATTCATATATCATCATGTATAAGTAAATAGGCCTACTCTTGCATGCTTCATATTGAGATTTATTGTGTGCCAGTACTGGATCTTTGTTGCTGTAGTTTTTGTGACTTTTCTGTAGTGTCCATGCAAAATCTACTACTGGTTGCTATAATAGTTTAAAGAACAAACAAAGCTAAAAACACAAATTGTGAAGTTCTTCAAGTTGGTGTTAAAGGAAAATTAGTTAAACAAAAAATGAAAAGAGCAAATCAGGCCCATCATAAAATAATTTTATGTATTTTGCACATTTTATACTGTATTATTACTGCATTTGTATTGAAATTACCAGTGACAGGAAGGACTTTGTTGCCTGAGAGCAGTATTACTAACCTGCCTGTCATTGTTCAGAGCTTTCCATAACCAGCAGTGGTAAAATGAAACAAATGTTTTTATCCAATTCATGCTCATTACAACATGAAACACCTTCCCCAATGCCTTCTTTCCATTACTTTATATTTGATTTAGCATCTCAGAAGCCACCCACAGGAAAAAAATGCAACACCGCTGCCTGGTTTGGCTGACTTGATTACTGTAATATGCTAAACAGTTTCCATAGTCTGTATCTGCAGGCAGGGAGACAGCGTCATTATTCACAGAGTGCAGCTCTGCTATGAGTTAGGTCTGCTCTCACTGGTTCTTCTATTCGGACTATTTATCCATTACTTTTAGCTAACTACTATTTCAACAGTTTAGTTTAGCTACCTATTTTAACATTTTATTCATAGCTATAAGATACCACTTTATTTATTGTGCCAACATGCTCAGGTTTATATAGCATACAGAAGGAAGACAGGAGATGAAACGAATATCCTGCACACAACAAACAGTAGCAGTAACTAAAGATTAGTGTCATACAGAGTAATAATAATAGATCATGTAGAATAACAACAAGTGATGATTGTACAAAGTAAAACATTAGGTTTGATATTTCATCTGTTTATTCATTACAACACTATTTGAACCATGTATGTTTAACTACTGTATCTCACGATTTGTCCACTACTTCTATTTCAAATGTTTATTAATCACTTTCAGCTTTTTGAAAAATATTTATTCATTACTTTTAGCTTACATCACTATTTGAAATGTTTACTTTTCACTATTTCATGCATTTTGCCTACATGCTAGAATTCACTTGTTAGCTAAAGCTGACCATTTGTGATATATTTTAATGAAATTGTGATTTCTATTTTATTTAACTTTATTTTTCCAAATGATTTGAGTTAATGCACAACCTTTCCATTTATCAGCTAGTGTCCATGAAAGTTATCCCTGTTGGGAATCACTGTTTTTGTCTCAGACCATACTTTTAACATCTAGGTATAATATTCACATAGTTCATTATAAGAAGAAGAAGCTTTATTTTATTGTCACTGTGATATGTACAATGAAATTTTGTTTGGAGCTGAGGGCCCCAGGCTGCTGTGTGCGTACGCGCCACCATCACGGGCAACTTGGGGGTTCAGTGTCTTGCCCAAGGACACTTCGACATGTGGACTGCAGGCACCAAGATTCAAACCTTCAACCTTCCGGTTGGGAGATGACTGCTCTACCCACCGCATCACTGTCGCCCCTCTATTTTTTTCTGTGTGAAGGCAAATAATGTTAATGTTACCAACTGTCTTTTCACTTACCCTCTTCCTCTACAGGGAGCTCAGAGGTCAGGGCAATCCCTCATCTTATCTGAGGGCACTTCGGGTACTTGCTTGAGCAGTGACCTTCCCTCCACACTATCACCA